CCTGCTTTGGATATACTGCTTGCGCGGGCTATTTCCTCAGACCTCGCTTTGCTTCCTTGCTATCGCTCTCGCCTAATAAAAGTTCCTTTAGAGACGACGTCTGTTTCTTGGGAGACCTAGTTGAGGCAGGTCCTTCCCCCTGCACCCCTTAAAGTCCCTTCCTTTTATGGAACCAAGCCGGAAGGACATCATCATCAAACAAGGAGACGGATATTCCGTGTGACTTCATTGAGTACGTCAAGCCGTGATGGCTGTCAGCTCATCCTGGCTTGCCCCAGCTTGCGAGACGAAACGGAGGCCTGTTTAGAACAGTAACATATATAACAGTGGTGGCGAACCTATGGCACGGGTGCCAGAGGCGGCACTCAGAGCCCTCTCTGTGGGCATGCGTGCCGTCACCCCAGTCCTAGGCCTTCAGCTGGGTTTTATAAAACCTTTTCACTTTAGGCCTCCGCTGCCATGTGCACAAAAAAAAAAAAAGTTCAATCAATCAGTCAATTTCACCTTCTCGTGGGGAAAAAAATATCTTGCAAAGTTGGAATTGATTGATTGAACTTTTTAGTCCCACCCAGTCTGCCATTACCACCGCAGCCACGCCCACCCAATGGGCCACACTCAGCCAATGGGCCACACCCACCCGGCACCTGACGATGCATAAGTTTTGGGTTGCAGTTTCGGCACTCGGTCTCTAAAAGGTTCGCCATCACTGATACATAACAATAGAGGGAGATCTATTTGACGATCTAAAAGCACTGATACGGAAGCCTAGTTGGCAAAGGAAGAAAGCCAGAATAAGGTTGAAGAAAATTGGGGTGTTGACTTATTAGAGGGGATTTCACATTATTAATTAGAGGGTTAAAGGGAGAAGTTGAGAGAAGGGGAATTTTGGTCATTAGATTTAAAATACTTGGAAATTAGTTGAAAACGAGAACTTTATCTGTTTCATATTTAAAAATTAGACCTAAAAGGAAAAAGAAATGTAATTATTATGAATATGTTTGATTGATAGATTAACCCAGGTAATATACATAATGGTTTTGATTTATTAAAGGGGATGTTGTATTATTAAGTAGATGATTTAATATGGGTGGGAAATAGATAACTTTTAGGAAATAGAACAAGATTATATATAGATAAAGTGCGTATTTTGGATATTAGATTTCGTTATGAATTGAGATAAGGGAAATAATAATAATAATAATAATAATAATAATAATAATAATAATAATAATAATAATAATANAGAAGAAGAAGAAGAAGAAGAAGAAGAAGAAGAAGAAGAAGAAGAAGAAGAAGAAGAAGAAGAAGAAGAAGAAGAAGAAGAAGAAGAAGAAGAAGAAGAAGAAGAAGAAGAAAGAGGAGGAGGAGGGGAAGCAGGAGGAGGAGAAGCAGAAGGAGCAGAAGAAGCAGGAGGAGGAGAAGAAGAATCAGGAGGAGGAAGAGGAGAAGCAGGAGAATAAGAAGCAGAAAGAGCAGAAAAAGAAGCAGGAGGAGAAGAAGCAGAAGAAGGAGGAGGAGGAGAACAGAACAGAACAGAATAAACAGAGTTGAAAGGGACCTTGTAGGTCATCTAGTCGAACCCCCCCAAGCAGGAGACCCTACACCATTTCTGACAGATGGCTTCCAGTGATGAAGTTCCCCCAACGTCTGAAGGCAATCTTCCAGACCAGAAAGGAGCCCTCCACACACCCCAGCCTGGCCAGACTTGATACCTACAGCCAACGGAGTGACAGCGGGCTTCGTCCCAGGCCGGTCCAGGCGGAAGGGCTGCTGTTGGACAATATCCTGCAGGATGCTGAGGATCTTGCAGGCGCTGCTGGAGAAGGACACCAGGGCATGCCACATAGCCGAGGCATTGCTGCAAGGCGAGAAAAGGGGGCTGTCAGACAGTGGGGCTCGTTGTAAATCTGTTGGGGGGGTCTGCATTCATGATGAAGGTTTAGTTCAAGGTGGCCAAACAGGACTCTTCCGTCAACATCAACATTTCTCCACCTTGGCTACTTGAAGTTGAGTGGACTTCAATTCCCACAATTCTGAGAGCTGAAGTCCATCCACTTTCAAGTTGCCACCGTGCTGGCTGAGGAATTCTGGGAGTTGAGGTCCATCCATCTTCAAGTTGGCATCGTGCTGGATGAGGAATTCTGGGAGTTGAAGTCCATCCATCTTCAAATTGGCATCATGCTGAATCAGGAATTCTGGGAGTTGATGTCCATCCATCTTCAAGTGGCTGCCAGGCTGGCTGAGGAATTCTGGGAGTTGAAGTCCATCCATCTTCAAGTTGGCACCGTGCTGGATAAGGAATTCTGGGAGCTGAAATCCGTCCAGCTTCAAGCAGCCAAGGTAGAGAAACACTGCCTTAAATCTTTAACCTCATTGAAAAGTCCTCGACAAGCCATCGGAGGAACATGGCCTAGTGCAGGGGTAGGCGACCTTGGCTCTTTTATGACTGGTGGACCTCAACTCCCAGAATTCCTCATCCAGCCCTGCTGAGGGGAAAGGGAGAGGTTTCCAAGCTGAGCCATGCTGGCTGAGGAATTCTGGGAGTTGAAGTCCCCCAGTCATGAAGGGGCCATAGTTCCCCCATGCTGGCTCAGGAATTCTGGGAGTTGAAATCCACGAGTCATGAAGGGGCCATCGTTCCCCCATGCTGGCTCAGGAATTCTGGGAGTTGAAGTCTGCAAGTCATGAAGGGGCCATAGTTCCCCCACGCTGGCTGAGGAATTCTGGGAGTTGAAGTCCACCAGTCATGAAGGGGCCATAGTTCCCCCACACTGACTCAGGAATTCTGGGAGTTGAAGTCCACGAACTATAAAAGAGCCAAGGTTGCCTACCTCTATGGGAAGGTAAATCTCCAGGGGTCAAGGGATGGCCTCCCAGCCAAGACCCATCAGGCACTGCCTTTGGACTTACCAGTCACACTGCAGGGAGCAACTGAGGAGGGTCCTCACAACTTCTTCGGGATGGCTGCTGCCGATCAGCCGGAGAAGCCGGAAGAATTCGTGGCGGGCAAAAGGATCCGTGATTTGTTCCACGGAGGAATACATTAATCTGACCGTCTTTGGCACCTGGGAAAAGAGGATTTCCCCTTGGTGGTGTCTCTGCATAAGACAGGTAGTCCTCAACTTACGACCACGACCGCGCCCAAAATTTCTCTTGCCCCATTTTACGACTATTTTGCCACCGTTGTTAAGTGAATCGCCGCAGATAGTAAATTAGTAACACATTGTTGTGAATCTGGCTTCTTCCCTCATTGACTTTGCTTGACAGAAGTTCGCAAAAGGGGATCAGAGAACCCCGGGGGACGCCGCGACCGTCATAAATACGAGTCAGTGGTCAAGCGTCCGAGTTTTGATCACGTGACTGTAATGGTCGTTAAGTGTGAAAAACGGTCATAAGTCACCTTTTTCAGCGACGTAATTTCAAACGGTCACTAAACGAATGGTTGCAAATTGAGGACTAGCGGCCTTAAACAATCCTAAAGTACAGATCCCAGACAGAAATCAGCTAAGCTCGTGTGGATGGGCGACGTCAGTTGGGACCAGAATTTTCTGTTAGTAAGCAAAGCTTACTAACCTATTTTACAACCTATTTTTCCCCTTGGGTCATTAAGCGGATCACTGCAGTCGTTAAGCGAATCCTGCAGTCGTTAAGCAAATCCAGCTTCTTTCGTTTATTCCGCTTGTCCGAAGCCGGCTGGGAAGGTGGCAAATGCCGATCGGGTGATCCCGGTGGCCAAGTGTCCGAATTTTGATCACGTGACCTTTGGCGGTCGTAAGGGCGAGGACCGTTACCTTCACAAAATTGGATCTGGGCTCCCTCAGCATGGCTTTCAGCATGCGGACGGCAGCTTTGGTGCTGTGGATACTGTCGTCCCTCGCGCCTTGGAGGGCAGTCAGAATTAACGCCATTTGATCGTCTGCACGCAGGTATTTTTTGAATATCTGGAAACAGGACGAAGGTTACGCACAAAATGCAGCGGTCAAATCAGTTCTCTGGGCAACCAGAAGCGTTCAGCAGGGGGTCCCCAACCTGTGGGATGTGGCTTGTTACCGGTCCATGACCTATTCCCAACTGGGCCATGCGAGTTGTTGGCTGGTGTGGGGCCACACTCGCACGAATGTCGCGGACACTTGGGGCTCCAACTGCGTGTCACAGGTGCTTGGGGTCCCCCTCGCGCGAGCGTCACGGGGGTTCAGGGCCCACTTATGCAAGGATTGTGGGTGCCCGGGGCCCCAATTGTGTGAGTGTCGCAGGTGCTTGGGGTCCCCCTCGTGTGACCATCACAGGTGTCCAGGGCCACACTCATGCGAGGGTAGTGGGTGCTCGGGGCCCCAATTGTGTGAGTGTCGCAGGTGCTTGGGGTCCCCCTCGTGTGAGCATCACGGGTGTTCAGGGCCCCATTCATGCAAGGGTCGTGGGCGCTGGGGGCTCCAATTGCACAAGTGTCGCAGGTGCTTGGGGTCCCCCTCATGTAAGCATCACAGGGTTCAGGGCCCCACTCATACGAGGGTCGTGGGCGCTCAGAGCCCCAATTACACAAGTGTTGCAGGTGCTTGGGGGTCCCACTCATGTGAGTGTCGCAGGTGCTTGGGGTCCCCCTCATGCGAGCATCACGGGCATTCAGGGCCCACATGCGAGGATCATGGGTGCTTGGGGCCCCAATTGTACGACTGTCGCAGGTGCTTGGGGTCCCCCTCATGCGAGCATCACGGGCATTCAGGGCCCACATGCGAGGATCATGGGTGCTCGGGGCCCCAATTGTACGACTGTCGCAGGTGCTTGGGGTCCCCCTCGTGCGAGCATCACGGGTGTTCAGGGCCCCACTCCTGCGAGGGTCATGAGCACTTTGGACCCCAATTGCACAAGTATCGCAGGTGCTTGGGGTCCCCCTCGTGCGAGCGTCACGTGCATTCAGGGGCCCATTCATGCAAGGGTCGTGGGCGCTGGGGGCTCCAATTGCACAAGTGTCACAGGTGCTTGGGGTCCCCCTCGTGTGAGCATCACGGGTATTCAGGACCCCACTCCTGCGAGGGTCGTGAGCGCTCGGGACCCTAATTACACAAGTGTCATGGGTGCTCTCGGCCCCTCCCATGAAACCTCTTTCCCCCCCCACTCCTCAGGGCTATCACCCCGGAAACTTTGGGGAACTCTGATTCAGAGGGGACAGGAAATTACCGTAGTCGCCATGCTCACATCCGAGAACCAGGCCAGCCAGAAAATCTTCTCTTCTTCCCATTCCCGCAGAAGGTCTAAATATTCCTGATTATCTTCCGCCTTCGTCAGACCTCAGGAAAGGAACAAACAATTAGGGAACAGGGGTCATTCTGGCTTTCCGAATACAGGCAGTCCTTGACTTACGACGGGTCACCTAGCAGCCTTTCAAAATTGCGACAGAGCTCCTCTCCCGAACGGGACAGATAGCCCCCGGCTTACAACAATTAGTTTAGTGACGGTTTGAAGTTATAACGGAACTGGAAAAAGGGACCTGGTTGCTTTTCACAGTGCAGCATCCCCATTGGTCACAGGATCAAAATTTTGGGAGGGGTGGAGGAGGAGGAGAATGGTGGGGTCCTTGTTGCTTTCTGAGGTTATTTTCTTGCAAATGATGTTACCCAACTAGGTAACATCATCAGTGCTGGAAGGGGGAGGAGGAGGAGGAAGAAAGGAGGAGGAGGAGGAGGAGGAGGAGGAGGAGGAGGACGACGACGGCTGTGGGGTCCTTGGGGCTCTCTGAGCTTGGTGGTTT